CCTGCGTCCCCTGCATCGGCAGGCGGACTCTCAACCACTGTGCCACCAGGGGAGCCCGGGTTGTTTTTTTTTTAATACTGAGCTGCATGAGCTGCTTGTATATTTTGGAGATTAATCCTTGTCAGTTGCTTCATTTGCAAATATTTTCTCCCATTCTGAGGGTTGTCTTCTCGTCTTGCTTATGGTTTCCTTTGTTGTGTAAAAGCTTTGAAGTTTCATTAGGTCCCATTTGTTTATTTTTGTTTTTATTTCCATTTCTCTAGGAGGTGGGTCAAATAGGATCTTGCTGTGATTTAGGTCATAGAGTGTTCTGCCTATGTTTTCCTCTAAGAGTTTTATAGTATCTGGCCTTACATTTAGGTCTGTAATCCGTTTATTTTATTATTTGTGTGTATGGTGTTAAGGAGTGTTCTAATCTCACTCTTTTACATGTAGCTGTCCAGTTCTCCCAGCACCTCAGTGGTAGATTCACCGTGAGTTCTTGGAGGGACCAGACGCTGTTTGTTTTACTCATTTGTGTATTCCTAGTAGTTAGTTAGCACGGCGCTGTGTGGAGCTGCCTGACAAACTTTTGTTAGATTCCAGGGTAGTTCTCTGAGAAGATGTAGGGGGACTCTGGCCTCTGCCTTAAAACCCTATTCAACTTGAGACCGGGCTTTCCTGAACCAAACCTTCGTGTGTCCCCCTTGTCATAGTTGGGAGATGACTCTTTGGACAATCTCCCCCTCCTCCCACCAAAGCAGTGGTTAACCTAGGAGTACTTTTTATTTCTGCCCTAATCTCAAATTTAAACCAAAAGCAGTCTCTCCCTGTTCCCACATACATACACCTGAAAATAGGCCAAATGACTTTATCAAGACATCTGCATACCGAGATTTCAACATTGGGCATAAATACCACCAATGAACCATTTCCACACCGGGAAGAGAAAACAAATACAATGACACAGCCCCAAATTGAAAACAAAGCAAAATTTATTGCATGTGAAAAGCAATCACATGGAAATTAAGGGTCAGGAACCATGAAAATACATATTTCGCATATTTTCTGTCCTGTTCCAGCGTAGGATCACTCACTCTTCACTCTCATGGACCACCATCTGGGGAGAAAGTGGGCATTTTGGGTTCTGTCAGATGGCAGAGCCGCATTTCCGGCCACGCCCCCTCCCAGCGAGCATCTGGGGTTGCTTGCTTGTCTGTTTCAGCGGGACACGGGATATTCCTTGGATCGCAGGCGGATACACGAGTGCAGACGTGGCGGCAGTCACCCCACAGCCTGAGAGCCTGGTCCTCAGAACAGCCCAGGGATCTAGGAACCTACACCTACAGTGGGCGCAGAGACGGCGGCCTGCCGGCAGAGGGCGCCCGAGCCCACGCAGGAACCGCTCGCCGCTTTTCAGGACGGTGTTCTACTGGGACTCACAGACCGGGGTTTAGCCGGGCTCTACGCAGCTACGTGGCTTTAAGCAAATCCTTTCCCTTCCTGAGCCCGAGACTGACCACTTCTAAAGTCGAAGGTTCTCCAAGGTCCCGTCCATCACGGCGGGTTCCTCCCCGGGAGTCACACCTCCCGCCGCATCGCCCTCCCCACCCAGTGCCGCGGGGCCACCTACCCGGCTGGAGGTGAAGTCTCTGGTCTTCGCGCGCAGCTTATTGACTTGAGATTCGGCAATATCGGCCCGTTCTTCAGCCTCCTCCAGCTCATGCTGAGCTTTCCGGAACTTGGTGAGATGCGCGTTGGCTTGTTCATCCTAAAAGCAAAGAGCCGGGGCGGGTACGATCAGCGAGCGCCTCTCTGGGGCTCGCAAGAGAAACAGGCCAGGCGCCGCGCTGGGGTCCCGCGGACTTACAGCCTCCTCGGCCTGCCTCTTGTAGGACTTGACCTTCACTTGAAGTTTGTCCACCAGATCCTGTAATCTCACCACGTTCTTCCTGTCCTCTTCGCACTGAAAGAGAGAACATGGGACAGTACTTAGCCAGGGGCCAGCAGGGATGCAAGAGGTCCCAGTTCTCTCTGGGGCTAAAGGATTTCTCCCTGTTTTCTGGAGAGAGGACCCGGGAGGGTGTTCGCACTTCACAGAGGAAATGCCCGTGGGGTTTCTTTCCACTTGCCTGGTAAGTTAACTCCTTGACCCGCCGCTCATACTTCCTCAGGCCCTTGACAGACTCGGTGTTCTTCTTCTGCTCCCCTTCAAGCTCAAACTCCAGCTCTCGGATCTGGGGGAACGTGTGTAAATTAGTCTGGGGCTGGAGCACGAACGGGAGAGGCCAGAAAGCTCTGCGTAGGCTGGGGCCTGTCCTGCAAGTACCCGCGCCTCCAGCTTCTGGATCTGCTTCTTCCCGCCCTTCAGGGCCAGCTGCTCAGCCTCGTCCAGGCGGTGCTGCAGGTCCTTCACCGTCTGCTCCAGGTTCTTCTTCATCCGCTCCAGGTGGGCGCTGGTGTCCTGCTCCTTCTTCAGCTCCTCGGCCATCATGGCCGCCTGAAAAGCATGTCATCCCACTCAGATGCAGACCAAGGTCAAGTGCTTGGAGCTGTCGGAATCTGGGTACCCGGAGGACCAGAGCCATGCTGATGACAAAGGACAATAGGTAACGGGATGACTGAGCCCACCGTTCCACCATGGGACCTGAGAAGAGCTGCACCAGGCATGTAGCATAAGCTAAGAAGTGAAACCTTCAAGGGCTGGATGGGAAATAGTTTCTTCCCTTTCTTAAACTGGCCTCCTTGGGACCTCCCTAGCTCCAAGGAGATTCCTTCTTTCCTTATCACCATTATCACCAACCCGTGACTTAGAGAATTCTGAGTTCATAACCTAGCATCACAGGTGTGGGGTAATGGGGCTAAGGGAAGGCCTCTAGGGAACTGGGGGTGCCTGAGCAAGCAGGGAGGAATCGTCACGAGGTTGTGCCCTCCATCGAGCAGCAGGTGGCGCTGTGGGGGCCACGAGCCCAGAACCAAGGCCTCTGGAGCAGGAAGGCTGGGTGCCGGTGGGAAGGAAGCCGGCTTCCTGTGAGGTGACATTTGGTGGGATCCTGACGTCTGAGGGTCTCATTTTTGTATTTGGAATCAGTCATACGTTGAAGGAAAGGAGCATACCTCTCCAAGGGCATAAGAAAGGAATATAATTCCTTCTGGTCTTTTTTTAATCCACACTCCCTTATTTCTCATGTCCACTATTTAAACGTGCGGGAGGAGACATGCTGACTGTCCGGGGAGGTGGGGAGCGCTTCTGGAGCAGAACTCACACCACATGTGCCCTGGGAAGGCCCCACCCTGTCTAATGAGTTGGAGAGGAAGGGGGCTTGGAAGAAATGCAATCCTGGCAGCCACGCAGGGCAGGGAGGAGCCTCACGTCCGTGATGGCCTTCTTCGCTTTCTCTTCAGTGCTCCTCGCGTCCCTGCTGGCATCCTCCACCTCGCTCTGGAGCTGCAGGAGGTCTGTCTCCAGCTTCTTCTTGGTGTGGATGAGACTGGTGTTCTGGGACGGGAGGAGGGGTGTTAGCCAGGCGCGCCCGAGAGCAGGGGCCCCGCCCCGCCCCCCGCCCCTCCCCCACCTGGGTGTGCAGGAGCTGGACGCGCTCGCTGGCGTCCAGGAGCTCCTGCTCCGCCGTCTTCCTGCTTCTCTCCGTCTGCTCCAGGGTGGCCCGCAGCTCCTCGATCTCGGCCTGCAGCAGGTTGGCTCTGCGCTCCACGATCGCCAGCTGCTCCTTCAGGTCCTCCTGGCCCCGGAGAGCATCATCCAGGTGGAGCTGGGTATCCTGGCCAGACAGTAACAGAAACGTCCGGCTGAAGTTGAGGCCTGAGGACCATGAGCCCAGCCGACAGCTGGCGTGTCTGAGGCTGGGAGAGGTTTCCCACCGGGAGTGTGCAAACCTTCAGCTGCCCCTGGACGCTCCGGAGGTGTTTGAGGGTCTCTGCGGCCTGGCAGTTGGCGTGGCTCAGCTGGATCTCGATTTCGTTCAGGTCCCCCTCCATCTTCTTCTTGATCCTGATGGCCTCGTTCCGGCTCCGCACCTCGGCGTCCAGGGCGCTCTGCATCGTCTCTACTGCTCTCTGGTAGTTCCTCTTCAGCTGCTCGATCTCTTCGTCTTTCTCGGCCACCTTTCTATCGATTTCTGATTTCACTTGTGAGAGTTCCAGCTGGATTCGGAGGATCTTGGCCTCTTCATGCTCAAGAGCGGCCTTTGAAGCACAAGAACAAGACAGAAATAATACCAGTGATGGGAGAGAGCCTGCTACGCTACTCTGGGGCAAAAAACCCTCCAATAGAATGTTTGTAATTCTAACTCTGCAATATTCAAAACTCTTTTTTAAAAAATCCCTAACTTACCTTCAGTGCAGAAATAAGATGTTTCATTGCACTTTGTTTTTATTATACTATCAAACAATAACATTTAAATCATCACATTTCTTAGGCGCTTAAGGCACTTTACAGATATTTTGAATTCATCTAAGATTTTTGTAAAATCTCATTTTTAGACCTATTTTAACGTAATGATTTTCTCCAGTAAGTTCAAGATAATTCACAGGTATTAGTCCATTGCAAGTTGATAGGAAAGGAGCCGGCGTTAGGACTGTGACTTTACAGACCCAGATCGGGCCCGCCTGGCCTCCCAAGCTGGAGCCCCACCATCATAGCAGCTGTTCCAGGCCAATGCCTCGCCGGCGTTCTGCTCACCTCTGCTTCCTCAAGGGCCAGCTGGATATCAGCCTTTTCCAGCTCGATCTGCTTTCTTGATTTCTCCAGTTCATGGATGGTTTTACCGTTTTCGGCAATTTGTTCTGTGAGATCGGCTATCTCCTCTGCAAAGAAAGAGGTTGGGTTGCCTCGGAACGTTCTCCGTGCAGTTTTCCAGGCAGAGTAAGCACCAACCGAATGCTTTTAACTGGTTTATCATAGTTCTAAGGATGCTGTTTCCTAGAGGTAAGATACTGTATACAGAGAGACTCAGAAACAACCCCTCGGATCTGAACGCTTCCTGTGTGTGCAGTAACGGACTCCCGTGTAGGGGTTTGGGTCCTGCAGTCACGGCCCTCCAGCCCCACGCTCTGGCAATAGCATGAAGCAGGATTTCAGACAAATTGCTTACGCTCTAAATTCTTATTTTCCCGTTTCACAGTTTCAAGTTGATCTAAGGCTTCTTCATAGGCATTTTTCAGTTTGAAGAGCTCAGTACTCAGGGAGCGGGATTCCTTCAGAGATGCCTCCAGCTCTGCCTGGCTCTCCTCACACTTGGTTTTCCATTCAGCGAGCACCTGCAGCACCGGGGAGGAAGGCAGCACCTCTGTTGACAAGTGCCTCTCGGCTAGTTTCTATCTAAGTACGCCCGCGAGGGTGAGCAGTCTGGGAGCTGGGGCCGCCTCTGCCATGTCGCTTGCCTAGCCCCTTGTTCCTGACTGTTGGCTAACCAAGATTTCCAGATCAGTCACTGGTCAGTAACAACTGCCCTCTATGAAAAGCAAGTGGATCCTTTGAGAAGGAATTAGCTGGGCCGAACTGCCCTCTTCCCAATATGAAAACGGCCCCGTACTTCTAAATATTTCATTAAAACTTTGTTTCAAAGCAACCTTACCTGTCATACTGAAGGGGAAGCTGCCACAAAGCCTCGCAGTGGGACCCGAGTTGGATTCCCACATCAGCCCCCCCAGACAGACCAGCCGTGTGGGGGTACAAAAACGCTCGGGACTGGACAACATTGGAGGCGGTGGCTTGTTTCCACTGACAGTTTTTGAAAGGGACCTCCCCCCGCATCCCACTCCCATTGTTTCAGGGGCTTGCCTGAGGTCACACTGCTACTGGGGCAGAGTCAGGTACCACCAGGTACCCCCGTGTCACGGTGCTCAGCCGGCAGGGAGCTCACCCCACACCTTGTCAAAGTTCCTCTGTTTCTTGTCCAGAGCGGCAGCCAGGGAGTTGGCTCTGTCCACATCGCCCATCAGGTCCTCCACCTCTGCTTGCAGCCTCTGCCTGGTCTTCTCCAGGGAAGCACACTTAGCGTTCACCGCCTCAGCCTGTCCCTCGGAATCCTGAAGGCGCTGAGCGAGCTTCTTCCTTGAAGAATGTGAGAGAGAGGCAGATGGTTTCAGTTTCAATCCTCCTGAACATCACTGTTCACCAAGCTGGAGTCACTAACTTATGTGGTTCAAACGCCGATTTCCTTTCATAAGCCCAGGAGAACTTCCCGTCTGCTGAAAACCAGTGACCAAGAGCCTGCCTTTTCTCTAACCAAGGTCAAAGTCCTTTGTCTCAATGAAATGTGCTAACACCGGCTCCCTCTACTGGCACAGAACTGCCTTAAAAGACATAGAAGATGGGGAAACATCGTAACAAATTCACTCGCGAGTAGTTCTAAAGTCAGTGCCTTCTGTCACTTGATCATCTAGGAGTTCTATTTCTTCTGAAGACAGATAGGGTTGTGTACTTGGCCTCCTCCAGCTCCTCCGTGCGCTGGATGGCGTCCGTCTCGTATTTGGTCCTCCACTGGGCCACCTCGCTGTTGGCCTTGGACAGCGCCCTCTGCATCTCAGCCTTGGCTTCCTGCTCCTCCTCATACTGTTCCCGCAGCAGGTCACAGTCGTGGCGGGAGGACTGCAGGGCGTGGGCCAGGGCGCTCTTGGCCTGCAAAAGTCAGGACAGAGGAGAGGCCCCAGCGGATGACCATTTTAGTGCCGTGTGCATGATGCAATCCAAGTGGGCTCCCGCTGTCATCACCTATGAGTAGAGCTGCCTTTTGTTTCTGCAGGTGGTACTGGAAGGCTAGGTCGGGGAGCGCTCCCTCTGCGGACGTACCTTGCTCTCTTCCTCTAACTGCCTCTTGAGCTCTTCTACTTGCTGGGTAAATGCTTGCTTGCTTCTGGAAAGCTGCGATACTATGCTCTCCTTTTCTTCCAGTTGACGACTCAGCTCACCTGTGTCCAGAAGGGAAATATTTTCACTTCATTCATTCACTCACCAGGTTCCTACTGTATGTAAGGCACTGTGCTGAGATCTGGGGAGAGAGTAAATTACAAGGTGTGGTCCTTTCTTGGGGGTGAAGGGATGTGTCCGTGAAGAGGAAACTGAAAGCACACCCTGGTAAGATACTGTTGTAAACTTCCAGAAGCGTGGAGTAACTTTTGTCAGTAAAACTTAAGAATAATTGTAAACCAAAACCTCACCACCTAAACACTCCCATCAGACCTTTCAGTGGCTGGTGCTTCCAGCTGTTTGCTGGTTTGTCACTGGGGGAAGTACTGCATCTCTTAGCTGCGTTCCTTAGGACTTCTAGTTTCAGTAGTTTGAAGCTGGATTTTTGGGTGGCTACAGTGGTTCTGGTTTATATGCTTACGTAGAGGCAAGAGAAAAAGAAGGTGGGGGAGAGGCCTTCAGACTCCAGGGGTGAACTCCCAAGATCATGGTAGAAGTGGCCCCTGAACTTCTTTTTGTCAGTGTCTCGGTCGAGCTGCTACAAAGGACTGGTTCACCTGTGATGATGGGCTGGAGGACCAGCGCTGGGGGAGCCACGTTTTCTAGGTGGAAGTCCCGGATAATGTTCCCCTGTATTTTTATCACACACCAAGAGCCTATACAAATTGGCCGTGTTTCTTCCTTTACTGTTTAAAATGCTCCATTGCAGACAACGAATCTGCATTAACGTGCAGCGAGAAGTAGAAAAGCCATGGGACTTGGTTCCTAGTCCCACTTCTGCCCTCTAGGTTCTTTTTGAGGCAGGGTTACATTAATTTTGAAAGCGCTTGAAGCAGGTGGTGTTCTGGGTCCCTCCTCATTCCAGTCCATGTCTCTCTCCTTCTTACTGAACTTTCAGTGCTCTCCTCCTTTGGGACATTCTAAATGGCGCTTTCGTGGGTTATTCTGATTGCCTCTCTCCTGAAAATCTGCTTCCCTAGAAATCCTCCCCCAAACAAACCCTGCCTTTCGTTCTGAACAGTTGCCCTCTGTGGGTGTCCAGGAGGCACCGCCCCCACCGTTTCCCGGCGCTCACCGGCCTCCGTCTGCAGACGTGCCTTCTGTGCGGTCAGTTCGCTCAGGCTCCTCTGACATTCCTCGTTCTTGCCCCTGGCCTCGCTTAACTGATCCTCCAGAGTGCGGCAGATTTTCTCCAGATTCGCCTGCAGGGTTGAGAAGGGGGAGGAAGCTGAGTCAGCGATCAGGTGGGAAGGAGGCAGGGTCCCCCTCACCTGAGGATGAGGCGCCCCCACCCCGCACCTTGGACTTGGACACGCTCTCCACATTGCTGCCGAGGTCGTCGAGCTCCAGCTTGAACTCACTCTTCTCCTTCTCCAGCTTCTGCTTGACCCTCTGCAGGTTGTCAATCTGCTCCCCCAGCTCAGCCACACTGTCCGCGTGCTTCTTCCTCAGCGTGGCCGCCGTGGCCTCGTGCTGCAGGGTGGCCTCCTCCAGGTCCCGGCGCAGCTTCAGGAACTCGGCCTCCCGCTTCTTGTTGAGCTCTATCTGGGTGGATGTGACGCCGCCCGCCTCCTCCAGCCGCTCGCTGATCTCCTCCAGCTCCCGGGAGAGGTCCGAGCGCTGCTTCTCTGCTTTGGCGCGGGAGGCCCGCTCTGCCTCGATCTCCTCCTCCAGCTCCTCGATGCGGGCCTGTGAGGGCAGGCCGCCCCACGACACTCCTGACTTCCAGTGTCAACACCAGGCCAGTTTCCCCTCCCATTAGACAAACCACTCTTGGACTGTTCCCCGAACGATACCAATGCTGCAAATTTTCTCTGACACGAGTTTTTCCTGCCTCGACACAGGCATTACCCCTGCAGCGGCCACCCAGGATATAGTCCATTCCAACTGCATGTGGACTTGAAATACTTCAATTATGTGCCTTGTCAACAGTTACGGAAAAACTGTTCATCACTACTGTGTCAGCCCAGCAGAAAGGAGATCCGTGGTCCTGCCCGCTTTGCTCTAATGACGTGCAATAGACACCCCCCACCCACTGTACGTGACCACGTGCGAAAGAAAAGTCCCAAACGCCTCCTACCTGTAGCTCTTTGATTTTCTTCTGAAACTGCAGGCCCAGAGTCTGCTCATCTTCCACTTTGCTTTGCAGCTGACTGTACTCGAAATCCTTCCTGTGAAGGGAAATGCAGAACGTGTGAAGACCAAATACCCGGGAATTGGAAAGCTGAACTCGGTGGTTTCGGGGCGCACTTCTTGAGCCTTTCATCCAGCTGTTGCTTGTCATTCTCCAGATCCAATATGGACTCGTGGGCAAGCTTCAGGTCTCCCTCAAGCTTCCTTTTGTTCCTTTCCAGGTCTACACGAAGCTTCTTTTCTTGTTCTAGGGAGCTTTCCAGCTGCAAAAGTCACCGTTTCCTTTTGAGAACAAATGCTTTGCACCAGAGGGTTCTCGGGGGCTCTTCCCACCCTGAGGCCCAGGCCTCCCGACTAGCATCCTTTACTCACATCATCCACCTGCTGTTCCAGTTTACTCTTGATTTTGCTCAAGGAATTGACTTTGTCCTCTTCAGCCTGGAGGTCATCCAGGGTCTGCTGGTGGGCCTCTTGGAGGGCTTTCTTCTCCCTGGTTAACTTTGCAATGGTTTCATCCAAACCAGCGAGTTCCTCAGTAAGGTTTTTAACCTAAGAAGAAGCCACAGGCAATTATAAGAAGAGATCAAGTCGGGTTTGCATTGACCACATCAAGCTGGAAGGGCCCGCAAAGAGTGTACCACCTTGTTCTCTGTGGCATGTTTCTCCTTCTCAACCTTGGCCAGTGTGAGCTCAAGGTCATCTATGTCTTTCTTCAGTTCCGAACATTCGTCCTCCAGTTTCCTCTTCTTGGCCGTCAGCTCAGCATTGATCTCTTCCTCATCGTCAGCTCTCTCAGTCACCTCCTTGATCTTTGCCTCCAGCTGGAACTTGGCTTTGATCAGTTGATCACATCTTTCCTCTGCATCCAACAAGTTTTCACTTTCCTTAAAAAAAAGAAAAAAATATATCATGATTTCCTTTAATGGTTAAAAGATAAGATTTGTGACATTCCAGTATTTTGTTATACATGAAGTCCTTTACGAAGCATCGCAACTAAAAAGCAAAACTCCCACCAAAAGTCATTTTCTTAAATAATCAAATCTAGAAGGAAAGTTTTAAAAAAATTCCTAAACACCTACAGCTTGTACTTGGAGCTGCAGGTCATTCTTCTCTTGTACTAGAGTCACCAATTTTTCCTCCAATTCCTTCCTTTTTGCCTCTGACTTGGCGAGTTCATCTTTAGTTTTCTGGAACTCTTCCTTCATGGTGGCCATCTCCTTCTCGGTTTCTGCGCTCTTGAGGAGGGGCTTGATCTTGAAGAAGAGTTTCATCCAGGGCCAGTGCTTGACGTTCATGAAGGCTCGGATGTTGTACTGGATGCAGAAGATGGACTCCCTAAAAACAAAACATCAGTGTTTTTCTAAGAGAGACTCCCCACTTCTCCCGAAGAGCTCAGGTCTGAGCACAGACCCCGCTCGACCTTCTCTGCACCATCTTCTGGAATTCCACGCGCATGAGGAACCCTCTGCACACAGCTTGCGTCCGGGTGATCAGCTTGGCCAGGCGGTCATCCCGCATTTCCTCCAGGGTTCCCAGCAAGCCAGCCTTGAAGAACACCTTGAGGGGAGAAGGATGACTCGAGTCAGTTTTCTGGAGAAGGCTAACGGGGACCACACGCCAGCGTCTGTCAGAGCTGATGCAGTACCTTGGTGTGTCCAAACTTGTACTGACTGTGATCAGTGTCGATGGATGCCAGCAGCTTTTCACACGCCTTCTTGCTGTCGATGAACTGCCCCTCAGGGATGGCGCTGGCATTCAGCACTCGGTATCTGCCGTTGTGGACACAGAAACATCGTAGACCATTAGCAAAGACATGAACTTTGGAAACCAGTTCAGGCCTGTCTTCCAAGAGGCAAGAAGGCCAAGGTCCAGAAAGGGAAGGAATCTTGCTCTTGGTCACAGGCCAGATAGTGGCCTAGAACCTAGGCCTACTGACTCTTAGGCCAGGTGTTTTTCTGACGTGTTGTATGTCAGATAAGCTCCTGAGAAAATGTGGGAGAAAACTGTATACCTTGGCCGAGTGGTAGGTTAATCATTCTACATGGAGTCCACAGCTGTTCTTTTGAAACGGGTCTTTTCATACCAGGATTCCTCCCTCTCAAGTCCCAGCGTTTGCACATCTTCTCGAGAAGCAGACAGAGCATTTTCTCACACACCTTTGTTTAAAATCCCCGTAGAGGATCCTGCTCGGGAAGCCCTTCCTGCAGATACGGATGCCTTCCAGCACACCGTTGCAGCGCAGCTGGTGCAGGACAAGGCTGTGCTCCATGGCGCCTGGGAAGAGAAGCCGCAAACGTCAGCTTCACACACAACCTCCTAAAGCCTGAGTGCCGCCTGCAGAGCCAGCGGGTGTCTTACCTGGGGTTTTGGTTCCGTTGGGAATTATACAGCGCACAAAGTGAGGGTGGGTGGTTCTTAAATTTGACATCAGCTTGTTCAGGTTTTCCTAAAAGAAAAAGACTAAATTTGATAGCCTACTGTAGGCTTTTACAGACACGGAGATATATTGTAACAAAAAAGTAAGGTATGTATTTTAAATTTATCATAAATTCTAAGGAATAAAGGTATTATTTAACTTTTTCTTTTAATAATCTTTTGGCTAGAAGTGTCGGCAAATAACTGATATAACAGACTTTTGCTTCACAGTGAACCACCAGAGACTAACCAAGTACAAAATGCCTCTGAAATCAACTCAAGAGGAGTATCCAGCTCCACTGGGCACCGGACATGCTATTGCCTGTGTCCTTCAGGCAAGTCGGAAAGTCTGTACTGAGGACTCGCCTCCCTGGCCAGCCGGCACACGCAGCAGATGCCGTTTAAAGTGATAGCTCAGTTCTGGTCCTCCATCTATTAGACCTCCTCTGTGCATCACCATACTGCCACTCACCCTCCCTAAGTGACAGACCACATCACCGTTCCTGAGTGAATCAAGTTTAGCATCTCTGCGTTGCTCATTTTGAGATGACTTAAACCAATTACAAGCAAATAAATTTGTATCTTTCTTACCCTGAAAAGGGCAGAGACGGTTTGGAAGGAAGAACCCTTTTTCTTGGCAACTTTCTTCTTTCCACTGTCAGCTGAAAGAAAGAAAAGATGGCATGTGCTGTTAGCAGACCTACAGAGCCGTTCCAGTCCTGTGGGCTGAGTGGAGTGAAAAAGTGCGGGTCCAAGGCACCCCGCGGAGTCTGTTACCATCTGCCATGGCGAAGGTGGCGTAGAGGTGTGCCAGGAGCCTGTTGGAGGACTTCTGGTACAGGCCGACCGCCGTCTCGTTCAGGGGGTCCTTGTTCTTCTCCAGCCAGCCCGAGACGCTGTAGTCCACGGTGCCCGCGTAGTGGATCAGCGAGAAGTGGGCCTCGGCCCTGCCCTTGACCGCCTTGGGCTTCTGGAAGTTGCTGGACTTGCCCAGGTGCTGGTCATACAGCTTGTTCTTGAAGGAGGTGTCTGTGGCCTTGGGGAACATGCACTCCTCTTCCAGGATGGAGAAGATGCCCATCGGCTGGACCAAGGCAGGGTGCATACGGGGCAGGCATGAGCTGCAGTGTCAAGCAGCAGGTCGGCGGGGGGCGGCTGCTGACTGCACACAGCAGGTACCTTCTCGATGAGCTCAATGCAGGCGGCCAGGTCCATCCCGAAGTCGATGAACTCCCACTCGATGCCCTCCTTCTTGTACTCCTCCTGCTCCAGCACGAACATGTGGTGGTTGAAGAACTGCTGCAGCTTCTCGTTGGTGAAGTTGATGCACAGCTGCTCCAGGCTGTTGTACTGACACCAAAACATAAGGTTCACATGAAAAGTTAGACTTCTTTCAAAATCAAACACGCATCAGCCTTCCTCCTCATGGTCTCGGGCTCTCGCCAGCTCATTTTTGCTTTCAGGAATGGGCACATTCTTGGGCTCAGCGGAGACCACACATCCTTGGAGTCTTCTCTGATTTCCAGCTGGAAGATGCTTCTCCTGAGTCCATGGTCTGGGCCTCTCCTGGGCACTGGCCACGGCCTGCCTTATCTGTAGTAGGTCTTCTGTGTGCCTTACGTACTTCTCGTTGTCCTCTACAAACTACAAGCTCATCTTTTTTTCACCTGCAAGTCTTATACCTGGCAGACATCAAACATATGCTTTGATGAATGGCTATGTGCTTCTAACCCAGAGCCAGTAGGATATTTATGTAAAACATCACATGGTTGGCTTATTGTCAACTTCTTCTCTGTTTCTGGCTCTCCCTATTGTCAGTAATTGCATTTGATTTTTTGTTTTCTTTTATCCATTTGAGGATGTCTTTAAAATTCCACTTGACACAAGCCTTCCTCCCTCTTAAAATAATACAAGCCCTTCCATGTTCTCTTCTACCTGATCCACCCTCCATCTTGTTTTCCTCCAAGATGTGATGCTGGATGACGTGTGGGCTGCCTTGACATCTTGCCTATAGGATCACGAAAACCAGCCCCCAACACAAAGCCAAATGAGTATAACACAAACCTCAAAGATCTCAAAGCCCGCGATGTCCAGGACGCCAATGAAGTGCTGTCTTGGCAGTTTGGTGTCCAGCTGCTGGTTGATGCGGGTGACCATCCACAGGAACAGCTTCTCGTAGACGGATTTGGAGAGGGCGTTCACGGCATGGTGCACCTGTGGGGAGGGGCCAGCCGGTGAGTCTGGAGGCAGCGGCCGTTGGGTGCTGCGTCCTTTCCCAGCCTGCGGCAGCCACTTACCTGGTCCACAGTCTGGCCCTTGGTAACATACTCGTTCCCTACTTTCACTCTGGGGAAGCACAAAGCTTTCAGGAGGTCCGAAGAGTTCAGGCCCATCAGATAGGCTGTCTTGTCAGCCACTGGCAGGAAAAGAAGGCTGATTACAAGGGAAACCCCTGATGCTTGGCAAAGCGGAAGAACCACTCTGAAAGTCATCCGGATGTTTCCACGCTCGGCTCAGCCCATCTTCATGTGTTTACATTCCGTGTCTCTAAACTGCTTACCTGTGGCCGGTGGGAGCTGAGTCACTCAGAGAATATGATAGATTTTATGAAAAGGCGGCACTGGGTTCCAGAAAACCCTGGTCACTCCTTACTGTATTTGAAGCAGGACCATTCTAGTGATTCAGCAGACGGGGCAGTAACCGTGCCTGTAGGCATCTGAGCCCTGAAGAGGTTCGCCTCTCTAGGCAGGAGGAGGAGTAACTGCTTTCAAAAGAGGCCCTGAAGGGCTTCCCTGGTGGCGCAGTGGTTGAGAGTCCGCCTGCCGATGCAGGGGACTCGGGTTCATGCCCTGGTCCAGGAAGATCCCACATGCCGCGGAGGGCTGGGCCTGTGCGTTCGGAGCCTGTGCTCCGCAACGGGAGAGGCCACAACAGTGAGAGGCCCGCGTACCGAAAAAAAAAAAAAAAAGGCCCCGAGCGACCTCAGCTGGACGCCCCCTGGCCCTGGTGCGCGGCCGCCGCGGTGACGTGGTACCTTCGGTGCCGTCTGGCTCCGCCTGCTCCTCCCGCTGCTTCTGCTTGAACTTCATGTTCCCGTAGTGCATCACGGCGCCTGTCAGCTTGTAGAGTCCACATTTCTCCTCTGGGGTGAAGCCCAGGATGTCAATGGCGCTCTGGCATCGGAGGACAGCACGTCAGCCGGCTGACCCCAGTGGTGGAGGAGCAGCCCCGCGCCCACCCCTCCCCCGCGTCTGCTTACATCCGTAGCCAGCAGCTCCTCCGCATCGTCAATGCTGCCCACCAGGATCTCCCCCTGGCTGATGAACGGGTAGTCATAAGGGTTGGTTGTAATAAGCAGCAGCTCTGCAACAATGACCATTTAGAGGAGGTCACATGGATGCAAAGAAAACATCCACTAGGGGCTTTCAGCTTCTGTGTCCTCAGCTGAGACTTTTGCTGCTGGGGCCCAGGCTGAGGGTAGAGTTAGAAATCTCTTAAACAGTCTCTCGATACTCAGGCTGTGGCTGAATATAAAGTCCAGGGAAGACTCTGCAGCCCGCCCAGGCCATGTAGGGTAAGAACCACAGAGAGAATATTCAAATTCTCTTGCTTTGCGTGCAAAGGGTGCAGATCCATGTCGGTTGGGAAAGGTTAATCGGGAAAACTGGCCGAGTGTGGGCCAGGACAGAGCCACGGGGAGGGAAGCACAGATCATTTGGTAGAATCACAGTCTTTTCCAAAACCTGTTGAAAAGCTGCAGCCTATTTCCAGGCTTGGGCTCAGAAGGCTGAGCAGACACAGTCAGGGAGCAAAGAAGGGCACGAGGCCCCTGTTAGGTGCGGGACAAAGGGCAGGGTGGACATCCACCAGCTGGTGGTTCATCTGATTTTGCGTTGGCCTCACAGCGTTTGGTGAAATGTTGGTTTCTGTGCCAGAACACAAGGGGGCGCTAGAGGACCACTAAATGCTTGGTCATTCGGCCAGTTTCTACAAACCAGAGCTGAATAAACCAATTGTGTCTCAGCCTTTTACTGTCCATTGGATTGCGTTTTTCAAATTGGCATGTCACTGTCAAAACAGCCGCATCCCATTTCTAAAGCAAGCTTCCTCTGCTGGCTGCCGAGTCACCTGTGCATACACACAGCTCTCTTTGGTCCACTCACTCAAAAGCCGAAATGCCTCAGACCAACCCCTCTGGGGACGTCCTCACCTATGAGCTCGGGCTTCTTGTTGGAAAGAATCTGGTAGAAGATGTGGTAGCTCCTCTCAGCCTTCAGCTGGAAGGTTACTCTCGATTTTTCCAGCAGATCTAGGAACACAAACACAGGACTGTTTTCCAAACCGCTCCCCTGATGTCCCGAGACATCACCTGATCCCAGGGATCTACTTACACGTTTCAATGTCTGCAGAGGCCAGCTTGCCCGTGGCACCAAAGTGGATTCGGATGAACTTGCCCTGTGGGGGAAGGGAGACCAGGGGCACCGTGACGCCAGGTGTTCCTACCCATCTGCTGGGGAATGTGAACGGGAACCTTACTCCCCAGTAATTTGAAGTGAGGCACGTCCTCCTCTCCCTCTCCTCTTTCCGGTTGGCTGTGTCTCCCTTCTCCATCCCCTTGTTCCACACTGCCTCCAAACGCCACTCCCCTACCCTCCCACCCCCAAGACGGTCAACAAAGTAAGAGAGATTGTGTTCAAGATGCAAATTACACCGTATCACTTCCCTCTTAAAGGATCCCTCAGTAGCTTCCTGAATGAAACCCAAACCCCTTCTCCTGGCCTACAGACTCCGAGGCTCCAGGTCCCTCCCTACCACCCCTCCCCACCTCCCCTCATGCTGCCTGCCTCGCTGCAGCCCCTCGGACCCTCTGAGGTCCCTTGACCCCGCCAGTCCCCTGTCCTCATCCTGTGGATCTTGGGGTTCACAGGCCAGCCCCCCCACCAAGAGGGCTTCCCTGCCAGCCCCGTCTAAAGGAGACCCGGCTCACAGTTACACGACCACACGTCCTCTTTACTGCACTGTCTACCAAGGAATCCTTGTCCCAGACTGTCTTGTTGATTTGTTTCCTTCTTTCGCGGTCCACCCCCAGGACTGCAGCCTCCTGGAAGCAGGGCCCTCGCCTACTTGCGGGCCTCAGAGGAGCTCCCAGCTTGAGCCGGTGCAAACTCACAAAGCGGGACGAGTTGTCGTTCCTCACGGTCTTGGCGTTCCCGAAGGCCTCCAGCAGCGGGTTGGCGCTGATGATCTGGTCTTCCAGAGTCCCCTGGAGCAGGGGGTCAGGGCAGGAAGAGCCGCACGCGACAGTGAGCTCTGCGGCGCCTGCTGCCTTCGCTCCTGCAGCCCCGGGTCGCCAGACCCTCCCTGCCCTGCTTTCCAACCTGGGGCCCAGCCAAACCATCAGCACGCCTCACGCTTGCCATTCTTAGATTTGGCTCAAGCTGGGTGCCTTGACCTAAACCTCCTCACTTAACCCTTCAGCTCCTTGATTCTCCAGGTAGCTAGGTCATCGGTGTTCATTTCATACTGTTATAATATATTCGTTTTGAAAGGCAAGTAGACACTACAGTTCTCTCCAATTGGTATGTGTGATTCTGGTGTATGTGAGCTGCTCCCAAACTGACTTTTCTTAGTGGAGCCTTAGAAGCTTGTTTTCTAGGCAATCACAGGATCTGGTCCTGTAACATCAACCACATGCTGGGTCGTCTAGGAGAACTGGCTGTCCTGCGAGACTTTAAATCCTGGCCTGCTCTCCCTTCCTTGTGGAGGTGGGGTGTCGCCTCCCCGTGCCCCCTCGTTCTGAAGTTAAAGACAAAGGTTGGCAGTGGAAGCAGAACAAGCCTTTCTCCTCTCCATACCCTCATTTTGGAGTCCTTCTTCTTGGCGAGGTCTCCAGTCGCTGCAATTGTTGCAAAGTACTGGATGACCCTTTTGGTGTTCACAGTCTTTCCTGCCCCGGATTCTCCGCTATTCAGGGCAGTCGAAAGAGAGACAGAGAAACAAGTCCCGTGAGTGTAAATTGGCCCCCTAAGATGTCACCCGAGCCACAGCAGACGCACACCTCCCAACAAATGTGAGACCACTCGGAGAGGCCCCGGGGGAGAACGGCACGGCTGAGCGGGCTGGATGGGGAGCTCCAGCTTCCTGAGGCCTCACAGGCCTTCCTGCCCGTCTCTCCCCAACGCCCAGCCCCACATCTTTGCATCACAGACTTCGTTCTCGGTACTTTCTCATTAACAAAACAGAGCAAGTGGCATCTTCCCCTTCTGCACTGGGGACAAAGGGCCACAGCTATGAAAACACTCTACACCTTGGATACTTACGTGATCAGAATAGACTGGTTTTCACGATCTGCCAAAGGGAAAGAGAGAGTTGATAGCAATATGAAAAGAGCTTCCTCAACCTAAATGTCCATTGACAGAGGAATGGGTAAAGAAGCTGTGGTGTGTGTGTGTGTGTGCGTGTGTATATATACGCACACACGCACACGCACACACACACTGGAATACTACTCAGCCATAAAAGAGAATGAAATAGTGTAATTTGCAGTGACATGGATGGACCTGGAGACGATCACACTACGTGAGAAGTCAGACAGAGAGACAAGTGCCATATGATACCACCTATGTGTGACTGCGTGATACAAGTGAACTTAGGTACAAACCAGAAACAGACTCCCGTAGGTTACCAAAGGGGAAAGGGGGTGGGGGAGGGGTAAATTAGGAGTTTGGGATTAGCAGATGCAAACGACTGTATATAAAATAAAGAAGAAGGTCCTACTGTATAGCACAGGGAGCTATATTCAGTATCCTATAATAAACCATAGTGGAAAAGAATCTGAAAAAGAATATATATATATAAACTGAATCACTTTGCTGTACACCAGAAACTAACACAACACTGTAAATCAACTATAGTCCAAGAAAAAACCTTTTAATAAAAATAAAAAGAGCTTCCCAGTTTTCCGCCATGTCTCCAGCAGTCAGAGTTCACTGCACAGTTCCCTTTCCCACTACTATCCTGTTTAGTCCTAGGTGGGAGCTTGAAGAGACTCCTCTTTGAGAATGAGGCCCAGAGAGGTTAAGCCCCCCACTTACAACCAGCCACGGGCTTCTCACTGTATTAGGCTGAACCATATGAAATTGTCAGTCTTTGTTTTGGGCCCACAGAAATGTCAGTTTCGTATGAGGTAACCCATGCTTGCACTAAATCCAAACTTCTCACCAGGGCCTGCAAGCCCCTAAAATATGTGGCCTCTTTCGTCTTTTTTAAGCACCTCTACCCTCCTGTCCTTTGTATGGAGGCTGCACACTGGACAGGGCGGGTGCAGGATCGCATGGCAGCTTCCCTGAGCCCTCCCCCCGCCTCCAGGCTTCCTTCTTGGAAACCTACCTGTGAGCATGAACTGATACGCATTGTCAGAGATGGAGAAGATGTGGGGCGGGGCCTCCTGGCGCTTTTTGCCCCGGTAGCCCTCCACCACCTCGGGGTTGTACACCGGCAGCCACTTGTAAGGGTTGACAGTGACACAGAAGAGGCCCGAGTAGGTCTGGGGGAGCGTAAAAAATATATATGTATGTATACATGGGTGTGTGCCTGTACACATAAAACCTTCTTTTTGTTATTTCACTTCTCTTTATGAGAAACTTGTAAAGGAGGCAAGATACGACTTCTCTTTATAGATGAGGCAGCCGACTCAAGAGGGTTGTAACGGACCTCCCGCCGCTGGTGGGTGCCGGCGCCAGGACCCCAGCCTCGGACCCACCTCGCCTGCCCCCGCCCCGTTCATCTCTCACCTTCTGATCCTGCATCACTCTTGTCGCCCTTTCTCCTTTTCATTCCCCCTCTTTTGCTGAGCAGCTCAGTCAGCACCAGTCCTTCTAGAGCCCATCCCACCACAAGCAGCTCAGCCCCACCCCACCCCGTCAGAGGTCCCGGAAACCCAGCAAACGCAGGCACTGACGTAGATCATCCAGGAGGTGTAGCGGTCCTTGAGGTTGTACAGCACGGCCGGTTCATTCAGGTGCGTCAACATGGCCATGTCCTCGATCCGGTCGAACTTGGGCGGGTTCATCGCGTACACGTCCTCTGGCTTCACCACCAGGGTCTGAAAGGGAAGGGGTACAGTGCACACCTGGGCTTCTCTGTGCGTTTTGCCCCTGCAGCTATCTGTCTCCCACGCCCAGATCAGAAGAAGCAGGTGCTGGAGAAAACGCCTGTTTGACAGGGAGGGAGACAGGGCTGGGGGCGGCTTGCAGTGGTGGTGACGGAATGGGATTTGTTTCTGTTACTTGGGCTTTTGTTTTTTTCCATCTCCAATGGGCCTGAGGTGAGGGAAAGATGACAGAAATGAGAAGAGGGTCTCTGTGGGTGGGTGCGGGGATGATGCAGGCGCGGGTGCCAGCGGAAACCTCTCAGCTCCGTGATGCCGGCTGGGCCGAAACCCAGCTCCAGCAGCCTCAGGGTTTCTGCTGTCTACTCAGGGAACACGGCAGGTCCACTGGTGTTCCTGAGGCAGGTACCGAAGAGGAGTCTGGTGGCCTTGGGTCACCAGGCCGGTGCCCAGAGTTAGCCGGCATTCTGAGCTCTCTGAAAGCAGCTGCCAAGCCCCCACCCTGCATCTTGCCCGTTCACCCCCTCTGGCCCTTGCTTGTGAAAGAGAACCAGCCCCGCTCCCTTTCTGGGGCGGGAGTGTTACAAGCCAGGAGAAGGAACCACGAGGCAGAGCGGTGGTTCCAGGCACTGGCAGGCGCCTTTGTGCTCCCCTCGAGAGAAGCCCCTTGCCCCAGTGCCCAGCGGGGCTGGAGGACCCTGGCATAGTGGGCGTGGAGCTCAGCTTCCTCTCCCCTGCTCTGCCCTCACCTCCTTCCTGAGACCTCCTTTGAAGATGGTCATTTTCCCCACCCCGCCTCTGGGCAAGGCAGTGGAAAACCTGCCTTTAAGTAGAGATCCACTTAAACCATCCGTGCCATCAGCCCTCCCTGTGAGGGTCTAGACGTCTTAGATTGTCATTCATCAGGTCTACCTTCCGTGTTTCCCTGTGGCTTCATAAGCCCGTTCTTAACTCCATCATCTGAAATGTACTGAGAGCTGCCCTCTGGAGCTTCAGTGCTTGCAAGCATCACAGGACAATTTCGGTGCCTTTTTCCTTCACATCCAACCCAATGACGCTATTTCCTTTACACTTCTCTTTTGGATACCACCCCCCTGCCTTTTTTTTTTCTTTTTTTTTTTAACTTTTCTTAGAACATTTCCAGATTCTTCTGCTCTAGATTCCAGAGAGTAGTGAAGTCCAGAATTCCTCCCAGCATGCCCACAGTACCTGGGCCAGAATGTAGTGGGCTATACTGCTCATTGCCTTCACGATATGGGAAGGCTGCTATGTCACATCGAGCTTGTGGTCCACTAGGATCCTTTACTCGCTTTCCTTACTTCCTTAGTTAGATGGCTATTGCTAGAAGAATTAGGGGGAAACCTAGGCTACCAAAGGAGAGTGTTCTAACAGAGGTCCTCCTACTGTTGGACTCCCAACTGCACACCCCTGGGATACACAGGGCTGGTCCCCTCTGGCCTAGAGTGACGCGCACGTTAACAAAAGCACCCGAACGTCGATTGTTTTGGCCAACCACAACCAGGTGGTTCTCCCACTGTGCAACCTGAGGCCAGTTTTCACTCTGCTTCCTCCGAGGACACCTGGCATGCTAAGGCGGTGATGCCAGGTGAGGCATTCCGGTGCCAGAGCCACGTCTGGAGATGGCTGGGTATGGACCGGACGCACAGACTGGGCAGCCATGGGGAGCAGACAGAGGCCTGGCCGGCCTGCAGAGGGTGTGGACGGGGCTTACCCTGTTGTCTTCGGTTTCCACCGTGACCTTCCCATCCTGGGTACTCTTAATTTTCCCCTTGGCGTATTCTTCCTTTGAGTCGACCACAAAGCAGTAGGTTTTGGCATCAAAAGGCTGGTTCTGAGCCTCGATCCTCTCCTTTTCTGACTTCCGGAGGAAGGGAGCGGCTATGCCGAACACTTCCATTTCGGTGCCGCTGCTCATGGTGTCGGCTGGAAGGCGAACCCACCAAGTGAGCCCTGCTGCCCCCAGGCTCCAGCCCTGCCCCCGAGGGAGCCCTTCAAGGTGGAGCCCCGGGAGCAAGGCTGCCCTCCATCGACCCCCAGGAAAATCAAATGCACACATATTTATTGAGCAGCTACTCTGTGCAAAGGGCACAGAGCGTATGCAATCCAAGCTCCCCCATTAGCCGGGGCTTGGACGGGCGAAGGGACCCTAGAGGCGGGTGCAGTTCTCGGGACTCACTTTCCTCTTCTGCAAAAACCCAGGTGTTGCTGAGGGAAGATTTAAAAATAAACACCATCAGAAATAAACGGCATTCTTCAAAGAGAGTGCGCTAAGCGGCAAATAGCTGAGGAATTTGGGACCTTTCTGGCTCAAGGTGGCTACCTCCTCACAGGAGGACACCGGCGTTTGCTTCCTTCGGTTCTGTTTTGAGAACAGAAGCAGCATCTGACATCAGCGTCTACTCAGAGCATCTCCCCAGGTGCTGCCTCCTCTCCGCTCCGCTCCAGCCTAACCTGTCCTGGTCTAAGCTCTACAGGGCTCTCACCCTCCGGGCCATCGGAGGTGGGAGGAACTGGTACCCTAGAGACCTCTGAGCCAAGGGACCCGACCGGCTTCCTCACCTGAGGGTCACACCCACGGGAGGACAGCGGACAACAGCAGTCGTGGGTAATCAGACCTGCAATAAATACGCAGAAAGCAAGCTCAGGACACGGGAGTGTCTGGGTCGGTTCTGAATCGGGTCCTGATGAACTAACCAAATAAGGATAAAGGACTAATAACTTAGAAAGAGCCTTACCCCAGAGAAAAGCTGGAGGAGCAGATGGGACGTGACCCACAGGTGAGCCAGGAAGGTAGGAAAAGCCCCCAACCGCCCCAAACCTGGCTCCTACCAGCCCAGCACGGCACCCTCCTCAGTCTGCAGTGCCTCCCATTCAGAACTGGGCAGGAAGGACAGAATCCCTGTTAAAAAGGCCAGGGGATCAGGCCCCCTGTCTTCGGTGAACAGGGAGAAATCTCAGATTGGCCGACGGACACCCGCCAGGCACGCAGCGCAGGTGGGGAAGGTGAGGGCAGGGTAGGCGGCGACCCCACTGGCCTCTGCACAGATCGGAGAGGCGAAGGGCAGGCCGTGGCCCACGGAGCGTTGAGGGGAGAGCAGGCCGGAGGACGTGGGTGCTGCAGGCAGCGGGGTGGGCCTTTGGGCCCGAGGCCCAGCTCTGCCTCTAACTAACCTTACCAAAGCCAGACAGGCCCGCACCAGGTGGCGTCCTCCAAGCCGCACTCGGAAAAGAGCCAGCGAGGGGCGCTGCGACTCTCCTCCACCCACAGAGCAGCTACAGAGGGGCTGCTGCCCGCTGACTTTTATACCCCCTGCTAACGCCACCGCTCATTCCTTCTCTATATTTGGAAAGAGAATGACCGACACCACAAGCTGAGGACCAGCTCCTTCCTCACTTTTTTTTGTCGTTGCCAAGGGAGAGGTATCTATAGAAATGAGCGGGATCCATAACCATTTTCCCATTGGGGAAAGCTGGAGGTTTGAGATGCCTTCCTTTGAACTTGGGCCCGGGGTGTCCTCACTCAGTGTGATGGGACAGCCTCGCTGGGGCTCCTGCCTAACTCCATCCTGCAGGCGCCACGGGCTCAGACATCAGTGTGCAGCCCTGGGCAGCAGGTACTTAGAAATCTTGTCCTGTGGGAAAAGGGAGGAAGCCAAGGACAAAACTATTAAAATCCTCTTGGAGTTTTGAGCAAGACTTTTGTCACAACACAGGGTGGTGTGATTGTAAAACTCGGCCAGAAACAACAACAACAACAACGACCCTCTTCCTCCTCCTCCTTTCACTGTGTAACTTTCTATCTCGTTAGTATCATTATTAACTGAATCCTTTCTTAAGTGCCAGTAAGACCAACAAGTAAATTAATGAGGGGGGAGCTACCCGGCCAGACGGTATCCACAGCAACAGCTGCTTTAAGGACCTGTTGTTATTGAGATATACTACGGATTAGGAAAGACCAGCTGCTGGCCTGGGTGGGGGGTAGGGGGAAGGCATGGCCTGCAGAGAAACGGGGGGTGATTGGGGGGCGCTGTCTAACAAGTCTGGTTGTTTCTAAGTCAGGGCTGGAAAAATGAAGCTTCCGGAGAAGAATGAACCTTCTTTCCCTTCTACTTTATGTCTGTTTTTTCCCTATTTTTCCTGACAAATCTTTGGGAGGGTGGCCAGCTGGCATCCTCATTAATTGGTCATTAATTTTAAAGAGTGTCAGCAGTTCCCACTTGAGAATAAGAGCTGCCCCTCCCAACGCACCCACACCAGGCGTGGATACGGAGGCCACTCGAAGAGGTGTGGGTAGGGCAGGGGGAGCAGGACTGTGGTCCCCAAGGTGCAGGGACATTAATTAAGCACCCACTGTATGCTGGCCCCAATGCAGAGCACTTCAAGAAGGTACACAAGAAACGGAAGATGCAGCCTTTACCCTTAATGGTTTCTAGGATAAACGGTGGCTCGTTTTTGACATTTAGGGGATTTTAGATCAAAGCGCACATTTATGAAGTACCTGCTCTGTGAAGGCCAGAAAGGTGAGTGGCCACCAGCGGGGGAGTCAGGAAGTACGGAACCCGCTCGCTTGCCCCAGCAGCCTGCTGTGGGCTTGCTCCCTGTCACACCCCCCCCACGCCACCTCCTTGCTCCAGCTGGGACTGAAACCCCCGTCCCTAGAGCCCCTCCTCATCCAAGAAGAGAGCCCGACCCTCCTAAAGGGTGCATCCGTGCTCTGAAGGGGAGCGGTCTGCCTGAGGTCCTGTCCTGCCTGCCCAGTGACATCAGTCCAAGTCTCTGTGCTATTGGCCAGGCATCTCCTTGGAGGCCTGGTCAGGACAGGTGCATGTCACCTGTGGGAGCAGAGGTGTTAGCAAGCCCCACGGGGCTGAGGGACAGTGCGAGGGGCCCTGACCACACCTTGGGCAGTGACGTAGCAGGGTGGCCATGGGACAGGGAAAGGTGCTGGCGGCTCCTTCTTAAACACCTAGAGTTACGGCTGGGAGGGGCTTTGTGGGCAACGGGAAAAGGGTCAGTTTGCTCTTTGCCTTGTGTTGTCACCAGTTTACCCGTCTCTCTGCATAATCATATCCATACCCACCTCCAGGAAGCCGAAAGGATGTTTTCCATACAGGTCTTCCCTGAGTTCGTTGTAAAACAGCCCCAGGTCACATTACTGAGCCCAGCCTCAGCTCTGAAGTGCCGACAGCCTTCCACCCCAGCTTTTCCAAATCACGCAGCCTGTCGTCCTTCTTTCCATCACGCTTCTTCCTCCTGCAGGTATAGAGTGTTCAGCTGGGGGATCTCAGAGGTCGTTTGCTGGTCAGCCTGCTTTTGCATAGGAGGAGCTGGAAGGCAGGAGGGGTAGGAAGCTTGCCCAAGGCCAGAGAAGGAGGGTCAGGGTTAGGCAGAGAGCTCCACTCTCCAGAAGAAACTCTGAGGACAGAAATGACAACAATAACTGCCACAGAGAAAAGTTTTAAAACTAGATACCAGGAATCAAAAAGTACGGCCGTCTGGAAATTATCTGTAGGAGGGAAGAGCAGCACGTGCAGCAGCTGCGGGCTGTGGGGCTTGGGAGTCAGACGGGCCTGGGTGCGAGTCCCACTGCTCGCCTCTCATTTACTGTGTGATGGCCGGCATTGTGCCTAACTTCTCTGAGCCTGTTTTCTCATCTGTAAAATGGGGATGATACAGCTGCCTCACAGACTAGTTATGTGCATTTGATAGGATATTAAAATGTCAGACACGCCCTGCCCAGTGCTGTGTTTATAGCACATTGTAGATTTGAAGTTTTCTTCCCTGTCTGAAGGTTTCCATGTGTTACACACAGTATGACTGGTTATCTTGATGACATTGAGTAGATCATATTGGATATTTGTTTTATCGATATGAGGAGGCAGAAGGGACATATATATATGTGTGTGTTTTTAAAAGATTTCCATCCAAAGAGAGAGAAATCTTAAAGAAGACCACTTGGTGCTTAAATAGGCAGCTTTCAGGGCTAACTGGACCCTCGGCTGGTGTGGAATTCCTCCTCTGATCAGCTGGGGGACAGATGACTTACCAGTGTATTATTAGCCAGCTTTATGGGAAAAGGAGGAGCCCTTGTTCTTTCAGCCATCACCCAGCGAGAACTAATCCCCACAGCCTGGACACAGAGCTGCGTTTATTCCTGGGTGCGCTGGAAGAAAATGTATTGTCTCAGGAATGCAGGCAGCTCCAGAGGCGCTATTTGGAGAGTGGCTGAGTCCCCTCGTCAGAGCCGGCAGCTTCCTCCTGAGCTATTTTCCTCTACTTCTGTTTGATGTCTGATCCACATGTGGACATGGAGCCCCTAGGACAGCACTCTGTCAGAGCATGACGTCAGCCGCAGGAGCAGATGCCTCCGGGATCAAGTGCCTTCTCCATGTCCCGCTTGAGGGGGATTTGGTGTCAGTGGAAGCAGGGAACTTGGTTATTCTGAGCGAAGACCATTCCCTGCCAGTGAGGTGAAGGTGGAGGTCCTGAACCGGTGTCCAGAGCCCCAGGTAATAAATAAAGCCGAGAGGGCCCAAAACTCTCCTTTAATTCAATTCAACAGACACCTACTTTCCCCACCTTTCTATTAGGAACAAAGTCAAATCTGTAGGTAAGCACAAAGCACAGTCGTGCGCATCCAGGGTTAAAATGCAGTTGGAGTTGATGCCAGAGCCACGCTACTGACCACCGCACTAATTATATGAGAGGGCTTCGGGAATGGATGCTTCCAGAATTATGACATGAGCCAGAAGTTGTGAAGTCGATCAGAGCAAACGTTTTAAAAGGTCAAACCCCGATGTGTGAGTGAAAGGGAGAGCTGGTGCCAAAAGGTGACCAGGAAAAGGGAGGATGCCACACACAGAGAGTCAGAGGAGAAGGCTAAAGATGAAAGTGAGAGAAGGTTTGAGAGACAGTCGCTGGCAGAGAAGAGACGAGTCCCATACCTGAGATGGGGTGGCTGCGGCTGCTGTCCGAAGTCTGCAGATGGTTCAGAAGATTGATGGGCCCGTGTGGTTGGGAGCTTGGAGCAACATGATTGAAGCAGGGAAGAATGCTTTGAGAGGAACAGAAGACGGACGTTCCAAGGAAAGGAGTTTATAAACAGCAGGCATGACCCAGGGCTTTGCCAGGGTATTTGAGGACAGGAAGGAAGAATGACGCATGCATCTGAACAATGCCATGGAGAAGGAGGCAAGCAAACTAGTCCACCAGGTGCGTGTGGATGTGGAAGGTAAAGATCAAAGATCACCAGGAGGTCACCACTGGGAGGAAGTAGAGAACAAATGGCTCCATAATAATAGAGAACTTGGAAGAAAGGTGGCCAATTTGAGGTGTGGTAGTTGATTAATATTTAAGCCATAACCTTTAAATTGAAGGATAACACTGAATTTTCATTTAAAGTCGTGCTTTTCGAGAGAAATGACCCAAATAAAATAAGAGGAGAAATAACGACCAATACGGCAGAAATACAAAAAAAAAAAAAAAAAAAAGAAAATACTATGAACAATTATATGCCAACAAATTGGACAACCTAGAAATGGGTAAGTTTCTAGAAACATACAGGCTGTCAAAACTGAATCAAGAAGAAATTGAACAGACCAACCACCAGAAGTGAAATAGAATCTGTAATTTAAAAAACTCCCTGCAAACAAAAGTCTAGGACTGTACGGCTTCACTGGGGAATTCTACCAAACATACAAGGAAGAACTTATATCGATCCTTCTCAAACTCTTCCAGAAGATTGAAGAGGAGGGAACACTCCCAAAGTCATTTTATGAAGCCGCCATCACCCTGATACAAAACCAGACAAAGACACTACCAAAAAAGAAAATTACAGGACAATTCTTTGATGAAAATAGACGCAAAAATCCTCAACAAAATATTAGCAAACTGAATCCAACAACACATAAAAGTGATCACGCACCATGATAAAGTTGGATTCATCCTAGGGTCGCAAGGATGGCTCAATATACACAAATCAATGTGATACACCATGTCAACCAAAAAAAAAAAAGACAAAAGCCACATGATCATCTCAATAGATGCAGAAAAAGCATTTGATAAAATTCAACATCCATTCATGGTAAAAACTCTCACCAAAGTGGTTACACAGGGAACAAGTCTCAACATAATAAAAACTATTTATGACAAACCCACAGCCAACATGATACTCAATAGTGAAAAGCTGAAAGCCTTCCTGCTAAAATCTGGAACAAGACAAGGATGCCCACTCTGACCACTTCTATTTAACATAGTATTGGAAGTCCTAGCTACAGCAATTAGACAAGAAAAAGAAATAAAAGGTATCTAAATTGGAAGGGAAGAGGTAAAACATGGAGATGACATGGTAACTCTACATAGAAAACTCTAAAGACTCCACACAAAACTATTAGAACTGATAAACGAATTCAGCAAGGTAGCAGAATACAAGATTAACATACAGAAATCTGTTGCATTTCTTTACACTAACAATGAAATAACGGAAAGAGAACGTGAAAGCTCCGGTGCAAGATGGCGGAAGAGTAAGACGTGGAGATCACCTTCCTCCCCACAGATACACCAGAAATACATCTACACGTGGAACAACTCCTACAGAAAACCTACTGAATGCTGGCAGACCTCAGACCTCCCAAAAGGCAAGAAACTCCCCAAGTACCTGGGTAGGGCAAAAGAAAAAAAGAAAAAACAGAGACAAAAGAATAGGGACGGGACCTGCACCAGTGGGAGGGAGCTGTGAAGGAGGAAAGATTTCCACACACTAGGAAGCCCCTTCGCGGGCAGAGACTGCGGGTGTCAGAGGGGGGGAAGCTTCGGAGCAGCGGAGGAGAGCACAGCCACAGGCGTGCGGAGGGCAAAGCGGGGAGATTCCCGCACAGAGGATGGGTGCCGACCAGCACTCACCAGCCCTAGAGGCTTGTCTGCTCACCCGCTGGGGCGGGCGGGGCTGGGAGCTGACGCTCGGTCTTCAGTCGGAGCGCATGGAGAGGACTGGGGTTGGGGGCGTGAACACAGCCTGAAGGGGTTAGTGCACCAAGGCTAGCCGGGAGGGAGTCCGGGAAAAGGTCTGGAGCTGCCGAAGAGGCAAGAGACTTTTTCTTCCCTCTTTGTTTCCTGGTGCGCGAGGAGAGGGGATTAAGAGCACTGCTTAAAGGAGCTCCAGAGACGGGCCCGAGCTGCTGCTAAAAGCGCGGACCCCAGAGACGGACATGAGACGCTAAGGCCGCTGCTGCCGCCACCAAGAAGCCTGTGTGCGAGCACAGGTTACTATCCACACCCCCCTTCTGGGGGGCTGCACCCGCCACTGCCTGGGTCCCTGGATCCAGGGACAACTCACCCATTAGAACGCAAGGCGCGCCTCAGGCTGGTGCAACGTCACGCTGGCCTCTGCCGCCGCAGGCCCGCCCCGCACTCCGTGCCCCTCCCTCCCCCCGGCCTGAGTGAGCCAGAGCCCCCGAATCAGCGGCTCCTTTAACCCCGTGCTGTCTGAGCGAAAAACAGACGCCCTCGGGCGACCTACACGCAGAGGCGGGGCCAAATCCAAAGCTGAGACCCGGGAGCTGTGAGAACAAAGAAGAGAAAGGGAAATCTCTCCCAGCAGCCTCAGGAGCAGCGGATTAAAGCTCCACAATCAACTTGATGAACCTGCATCTGTGGAATAGCTGAATAGACAATGAATCATCCCAAACTGAGGAGGTGGACTTTGGGAGCAAGATTTAGGAATTTTTCCCCTTTTCCTCTTTTTATGTGTATGTGTATGCTTCTGTGTGAGATTTTGTCTGTATAGCTTTGCTTCCACCATTTGTCCTAGGGTTCTATCCGTCCGTTTTTTTTTTAAAATTTTTTTTCTTAATAATTAATTTTAATAACTATTTTATTTTACTTTATCTCCTTTCTTTCTTTCTTTCTTTCTTTCTTTCTTTCTTTCTTTCTTCCTACTTCTACTAATTCTTTCTCTCTACTTTTTCTCCCTTTTATTCTGAGCCGTGTGGATGACAGGCTGTTGGTGCTTCAGCCAGGAGTCAGTGCTGTGCCTCTGAGGTGGGAGAGCCAACTTCACGACACTGGGCAACAAGAGACCTCCCAGCTCCACATAATATCAAACGGCGAAAATCTCCCAGAGATCTCCATCTCAACGCCAGCACCCAGCTTCACTCAACGACCAGCAAGCTACAGTGCTGG